AGAAGAGAGTGGTAGCTGAGATGTTTATTCAGCAGCTTCAAAATCCATTTTTCTGCTACCTTGGAGACAACAGGAGGATGCTGATTGGACGATAGTTAGACTATTTGTTTTGTCTCCTGATTTAAAAATTGGTGAGACTGTAGCCACCTTCCAACCTGATGGAACTGTTGCCCTTCTGATGGATGCATTTATCAGATATGTTATTGGGCACACTAGTGTGTCTATATATGTTTTTAAAAATTGTGTATCAAACCCATATCCATCTTTGGCTTTCGAGGCCCTCATTGATTTAATTATTCTAGCAACTTCAAACTGTGATTTGCTCTAAGTTAAATCTAGGTTGTCTGAGATCAGTAGACTGATAAGGTATATCTGACTGAGTGAACATCTGTGTTATTTCATTAACATAATTAATAAAAAAGTTATTGAATTCAATTGCTATTTCTTTTGGATTAGTCAGTAACTTATTATTCACTTTTATTTCCAGACTGTTATTAACCATTTTATGTTCCTTACGGTTCAGTTTATTTATATTTTGCCATTTCCATTTGCACTTTTGATAACATCCAAAAAGAAATTTGCTTTGGCTTTACACAATGCATTAGTTGTTTTATTCCTTATGGAGGTAAATCTTTGCCTATGAGCGGTCAGACCAGATTTTAAAAAGGTTTTAAGCAAAATGGTAACACTCAGCCCATCCTCCTGCCCATTTCCAACTCTTCTTATAAAATATTTTTAAATATAATTGAGATATTTTCTACCGATAACAAAAAAAAGCTAAGTCTATCAAAGCAATGCAGACAGTTTTGCAGGTTTTGATTTAAGGCATAACAATGCAGTTCATCATGATTCAGCAGGTAATGAAATGAGCAAACTGTGGTCTGATATTTGTTCATGTGTTTCTTCCTATCGAGCAGAAAAAAAGAAAAAATAATAAAATGTGTTGCATATATTTTGCCTACAGTATTTACTTACTGTAGGGTTTGTTTGTGGTGCAGAGCCACAGCTAGCTCCTCACTTCGTGGTTCTGCTGGAGCCTGTGCCGTTCAGAGCTGCTGTTGTTCCTCCTACACTGTGGACAGAACCATTGTTTTAAATATACTTATTATTAGAACAATAATCTAATAATTAGATTATTTTGTTCTTTACTTCTTTTGCTTTTTACATTGATATTGTTTAAATACAAAGATTTCCTTCATGATGTTTTTTTGGTTCAACAATTCTAGTCTTTTCCAGGATTGGGGAGATCCTCTCTTCAATGATCAGCTGATCCAGCCTCCACATCAGAGTTGATACTCTAACGGAAATGGGTTTTATATTGGTTTATTTAACACACACGTCATGAGAAAAAAGAAAACATGACAAAAACCCAAGACCAATTTTTGATTAAAAAATATGAGGTGCATTATTATTATTATTATTATTTTATTTATTTATTTAGTGTGTCTTAATGCACTACATCTCCAGGTGTTTGCTATCTGTCAAATGGCAGACACCTTCGTCCTAAGCATGACCCAGAGAGCACTCTGCCCTCATAAAGTGTTCCATTTATCTCTGGGTGTGTGAGAACAGCTTGTACATTTAAATAAACCATAGTTCACATTTTCTGTCCATTTAGCAGTATTATACTTTTTTGTGACACACCAACATGCGTCACTAATGACTCACAGTGCAGATTTCTCAGTAGACACTTTGTTTGCTGGCAGGTCACAAGGTATTTGCTGACGTCAGAGCCAGCAGTGTTGTTACACTTAAAATCATTAAATTCATTACATGAAAAGGTAAAGCGTTATAGGGACTGAAAAGGATATTTTTGTGCTACTTTTATCTTAGGTATCCAAATTATACTATAAAGAACAACTGTGAGAACTTTTGCAATTATGGCAATTTGGAGAAACCATGAACATTTTAATATGATAACATCTGTTTACTTTGGATGTTACCTTTTGTGTGGGAACTCAGAGAATTGTTGAGAGCCTAAGGCAAGCTGCTCTGTAAGTGCAGATTTAATACTTTTGTATTTTAGAATTCTTTGTACTATATGGAGCTGTGATTTCTTTGGTTTTTGTTTCAAGCATAATGACAGGAGGAATACATATCACCGCAGTGTCATAGTAAATACATTTAGTCAAGTTTGGCAATTATGGGGAAAAAAAACAACTTAATTTGCTGTGTCACTAAAGAATAATACAAAGCTATTATTCTTTAACATGATATGTTATGTCTAATATAGGATACATCTTTTCCATAACTTATTAAAGCTGCAGGAAATAACTTTTATCAAAAATTATGTTTTTAACATATTTGTTTTTCCTGGAACAGTAAGTTGTTTCTTCTGCTGCTACTCACAGCTTCACCGCATCAGCTCAGGGTTCAGGGTTACACCAACTAACGGCCTTGCCGTGATTCACTTGTCAGGTCATGAGTGTATGGTTTTCAAATATTTTATGTTTTATTGAGAGTTTTTATGTTTTGGCAGTGCTGTAGTCATGGCAAAGCAGCAACTTATATTGAAAAATGTTTTAATGTTAGGGCCCCAAGCCTACATGGGGCCCTAAGTGAAATGTGGTTTTGGGGCCCTCTGTCTCTGCTAACATTGTGGAGAGATAGACATCAACAGCCCAATTATTAGATCATTCACACAACTGCTATAAACCTATTGCATGTCTGGCAGTGCTGTTTACATGATATGTTATGTTGGCCATTAACAACATAACATGATATGTTATTTGTTGGCCATTCATTGGCCAACAAATTTATCAACCAGTTGATTATTCCAATTACTCCAACTGCTAAAAATATAATTTATACCAAGTGAGTTTGGTATAAATGTGATGTACATTGGTACATCACATCACTTCGATGTCTGAACAGTTGTTCTTTAAACACAGGTGTGCTGACACCAGTAAGTAGCGAGTGTCTGGCCGTTCACGGCCGACAAACGCTGGAGACAGTGGAGACAGTCCGTCTTCCACTGAACCTGTCCTGCTGAAACGGCACCGGTCCACTTGCTATAAGCTTCACAATGAATGTTTTGCACTACATCCTGCACTATCTCCAGCTAGAGCAGCCTCTAGGCACCATCTAGAGGATGATAAAAGAAGCAGCAGTTCTGAACATTATTTGAATCTTGGTCACTCCAGAACTGCTCCAGTTCCAAAACTACAACACCCAGACACTTCAAACCTGAACTAGATTATTCTTCTCTAATAGTAGAATATCAAAACCATGTTTGTGATATGTGAAACTTCGATAACGGTTTATTTCATGCTCTGTTTTGGATCTCGGTCACAGTAGAATTGCTCCAGCTCCAAAACTACAACATTGAGACTCTTCAAATCTGGAGTAGTTCATTCTGCTTTAATAGTAAAATATTTTAAAATATTTGGGATTTGTGAAACCTTTATTTGATTTGTGAAACCTCACTGAAATGTAGATTACACTTGTTCCCTCCAGTTTTTTTCAAATTCAGTTCTAATTGAAAAACAATGTATTAACACCAAATGGAAATTAAATGTTGGTGTAACTCATTAATTCTTCTAAGAGTTATTGTAGATGGTGACCGCTGTTATGATGGAAGGAAATAACTTGTGCGGCGCTTCTATATTCAACGACTATCCCTGACATTTGACAACATGAAGGTCCTGGGCACATTCCTGTTGGCCTACCTGTGTAAACAGACAAGGATACATCAAGACCCCTGCAGTTTGCTTATTGCCGTGGAATTGGAGTTGATGATGCCATCATACACCTGCTTCAGCAAACCCATTGTTGCGAGACTGTCTTGGTAACCTGGCGACCTGTCAAGGGTGAACCCCGCCTCTCGCCCGGAACGTTAACTGGAGATAGGCACCAGTACCTCCTGACCCCATTAGGGACACAGGTGTCAAACTCCAGTCCTCAAAGACCACTTTCCTGCAGTTCTTAGATGTGCCACAGGTACAAAACACTGGAATGAAATGGCTTCATTACCTCCTCCTTGTCTAGATAAGAACAAGGAGGACAATGAGCAATAATGAGCAAGGCTTCAGAGCCTTGCTCATTACTCTGTTCAGGTGTGGTGCAGCAGAGGCATATCTAAAAGTTGCAGAACATCGTAGAAATGCTGAGAAACAGTAGTTCTGGTTGCTTGAACCTGTAACAAAGTCTAAATCTTATGATTCATTAATTCTGAGAGAGTGTCAAAAAAAGCTTTAGCTCAGCAAAAGAAGTGAAAAATGACAGTGAATTTTCAGCACTACATTCAATATTTTTTTTTTACATTTTTTCTCAGAGTTTTTGCGGCGCCAGTGGGTCGTTTTTTTGACAGTAGACAGACGGGAAAGAGGGCGAGGAGATGGGGGAAGACATGCGGCAAAGATCGCCGGGAGTGGAAGTCGAACCCGTGACGTCCGCGCCGGGGATCAACGTGGGGCGTGCTGACCCCACGCCTCCACAGCACGCCCCACTACATTTGATATTAAGCCTTATTATTAGTGGAACAGTTTTGAAATGGTGAGAAGCCGTCATTATGGTTGAAGCTGAAAGTCTAAATTTACCAAATTGTACTTTATGACAACAATCAGACATTCATGTTCATCATGATAGTGTCATGTCAGTCTTACAAATAAAGTGTTACCAAAATAGTGATACCGTATATTGAAAGCACAATGTTTCACCTGTAAAGTATGTTGTAATTGATCCTTCTGTGTTCTGGTAGATTAATGTGTTTGCAACACTGCAGTGTGTATGAAGCATATATTGTACAAAATGGCAAAGCAGAATAAAATACATTAAGTAACTATACTAATTGTAATTGAAGTTATTACAAAAAAGTTAATACACTTTAAATTGTGCTTTAATACCATTTGAATACTATTAAAAACATCACACTTTGTGTGACATTTAAATGAACTTGAATTATACTCATGATTAGTCTGACTTAAAGTATGCTTAATTTGACTAATATTTGATATATATATATATTTATTTTTCACCAGGGATGTGACACAGACTAAAACATAATATGTTTTAATAATTTTTAATCACTTTAATTTTAATGAAAACCACACAAAAACATGCCAAAATAATTTTGCAATACTTTTACAAAAACTAATTGAAAAACAGCAACACAACAAAAACAAAATACTGAAAAAGCAAATCAGGGACTGAACTCATTCTAGACTAAAATGAAGGGGATAAAAACTGTCACATAACAAAAACATTTGATTCCATTTTGATTTAAATTCACAATTATCTCTCTTGTCATTTAACTCAGTCTTAAAATGCAGCAGCAAGAGGGTTATGTTGGCTCTTATATGCATTTCTATGGTTGGTGCTTTATTTAGGTTATATTATTGCAATTGCAATTTTGCTCCTGATCAAGCTCCGATGTCCCAGCCTTGATGGGCACTTTGATCAGATTGGTTGAACCAGCATTAAAACGTCTGCCAGGAGCTGATTTGAAGAAATCCTTGAGAAGATTTTTTCTCATTGTGCTGACCGTACAATGTTACCCAAATGTATAAAGTTCTTACCAAAAGGCAGTTGTTGATCTCACATTAAATACTCAGCTCCTGGCTCTTCCTTGGTACAGTATAAATATTGTTTTGAATTACCAAATAAGTTTCAATATTCAGCCTTTGTTACTGAAGCACTTGCTACTAAGGTTTATTTGTGAGAGCTAAAACTGCTCCCCTGTCTAAAGTCAAAAACATACCTGAAATGTTGCTTTGATTCTTTCATGCATGTTTGAGGAGTTCTTGAATCTCCAGAGGAGACTCCAGCAGACGAGCAGCAGGAGCTGATAGCAAACACTTGGTGGAACTGCATATCTGCTGAGCTCATCCTACCAACAACACTTGTTGTGAATAGCATAATAGAGGAGCCATGTTGTGATAATATCCTGAAGGCAGAGTGTCAGAAAGAGTATCATCATATCAAGGCATCAAATGCTCAGTGTTTGATATTCAGCATTTTTATAACTGAAGGTAACTTGATTGTGCTATAAAAAAGAAATTATGAACCAGAAAAATGCTTAGTATTTTTCTGGTTCTTTAAAAATAGGCAGGCAGATAAAGAGCCAGTAATGCCTTTTCCAGGTGATACCATTCAGCACAAACAATGACAATGACTACTAACAAAAAGACTGGGCTATTTTTGACATTGTCTTTGTTCTCCAGTGGTTTAGAACAAACTGACCACTTCTGCTGACTTTCTTCTTCAGCTCCTCTCCAATTTGCATTATTTGCTCTTACTTCAACTGTTAACTTTTTCTGTCAGTTAATATTCCTTCCATTGAAGCTTCACCTCGTCTTTCATCCCAATTGCCTGTAATTCCTTCCTGGAGGACGGCATCGACTGAGATAATGCTCATATTAACGAATTGTTCTCCCTCTCCTGCTATTAATTTTATGAACATCAAAAACAATCATACATCAGCTCATCTGTTTCTTGTGCATTCTGCTTTGTCTTGTTAAACCCTTAGTAGGTCATGACAGATGAGCACTTGTGTTTAGCCCGGTTATGGTTTTGCTAGGGATTTCTTCTGGTTACAGTGGTTTTTCTTCTCTATGTGAGACTTTGAGACAATGGAAGAGATTGCTCTACATGTTCATCCAGGAGGAATGAATACTGCATGCTATCGACTCAATGCAATCTGCTGAGTTTACTTAGAAAGAAGCTTTTTAATCTACTTTGAAAAATGTTTTGAGCATACTGTACTGTTTTATTACTTGGACCAATTGAAATGATTTTCTTGTAAAGTACCTTGACACAACATTTGTTGTAAATTGGTGTTATGTACTCTGAATCAAATTAGATCCTGCAGTTTCTTTTCAATATGTTGCAGACTGTTGTCCTTTCTACTTTGTTATTTTACCTAACACGGAATAAAACACAGACTTTTATCATTTCTGCTCCCATAACAATTTTAAAGTAGGTTGTGGTAGCCAACATTTAGCCTGATACTTCTACATTCTACACACCGGACCAGACCAATTCAATAAGGCTTGGTAGTAAACTCAAGAACCACTGATAAGTTTGGTTCATTTATCAGATATGTTCCTAAACAACAGCAGCATGTGCCTCCGCAAGCTTGTTTCCTTTCGTTTGAAGACAACAGTCTTTGTCAGAGATGCTCTGCTTGCATTCCTCATTTCTCCAAATGACAACTAAGGCTTGCTTGGAGTATCTGGCCTCATGAAGGCAGGACACAACTGCAACATGGGATTTACCCTTCAAACTTGTTCCATTAACAGATAAAATGGTGTCACCGCTTTGAATTGTTCCTTCAAGGCCAGCTGCTCCGTTGCTGAAAATCCGATGAACCTAAGCAAAAAACAACCAGATTTAAAGCACTTCTGACAAAAGAGGGAAAAATTATTAGAAACAAAAACCACACCATATTTATTTTTCATTCTGGAGTAAATGAATTTTCAAAAACAAGTCTTATTTTTTATATATTTTATCACAGCAAGGCAATCCAGCATCATATGTATCTAAATGTGATGCTATAAAACAAATATCACCCTCCAAACAATTCTCTCACACCTGACATGACTTTAGCAATGAGTGAATCGATTGTTGATGATCCAAAATAGTTTTTTATGTTCATCTCTGCTCTCTCCAGGGAGTCTCAAGATGCATCATTTCTCTGCAGAACTGATCACCGCCATTGCCCATGATGTCAGGCTACTTTTGCAGCAATAATTGGAGAACCTTTGCCCCCTAAACTCGACGGTCTAGTCTTATGCTCTTCATGGGTCCATGTGGCCTCCCATCATCTACTGCAACCTCTTCGTGGTCCGTGCGGCATCCCCGCCGGCCACCCTCTGCCGGCCACCCTCTGCCGGCCACCACTGCCGGCCACCCTCTGCCGGCCACCACTGCCGGCCACCCTCTGCCGGCCACCACTGCCGGCCACCCTCTGCCACCTCTTCATAGGTCTGTTCGGCCTCCTGGTGGCCCACTGCAGCCTCTTCATGGGTTCGTGTGGCCTCTTCTGTCATTTTCTCTAAAACCTGCGTCTCATCCGCATCACAAACCTACAGATCAGGACATTACATCTCCATGGCTGCAGAGGGCGCTCCAAATATGTGTTTGGAGGAGTACGTGGTTTAAGTATCTGTTGGTCTGTGGCTCTTTGTCCAGGAAATGTGAAATATCTGTGTGTGCAGAATTTAAGCATTTCATTTTGTCTCATGATAAGGACATTTGCACAAGTCATTCAGCTGTTCCACTCATATAGATCATTTCTGGGCACTTACAGTTATTTTCTTCTGATCAATGTCGGCACCACCAGCAACGCTAAAGCCAAGTCCTGCACCCTCTTCTTTATTCAGGACAACCAGCAGAGTATTGTTGTTGTGTATTACCTTCAAATAGAACATCAACAATAGAGAGGAGACACTGTAGTTAGAAATAAAGAAAAAGTTAAAGTATAATTGAAGAAACATAAGGTTTCTTTAATCATACAATCCTTTTGTATATGTTCCTTTTATATAAACGTATATAAAAGACACAAAGAAAAAAACTCAATTCAAACTTCTGTATCATCTCTTTTCTTTTTCTTTTAGAGCATATATTTGATCAGTTTACTAAAAATAAAATGGTGCAACAAAATGCACAAATATAGAGAGACTTAAAAAAAAGAGAGAAAGTTATCAAGTCGCCTGTCAAGGCGACGTGTAAAAGAGGAATGCAGCTTTCCTTTCATGAAGGAATGAATCATTTCTTTCCTTAATGATTCTTTACATCAGCATGGCTTTTTTAAAGGGCTATTTCAATCTGTTTTCAAATCAACTTATATCAGTCCTTGTTCCAAATTTAGGAACAGGACTTTTCCTTCCTTCTTTCCTTCCTCCCTCCCTCCGTCCCTCCGTCCGGATCGGGTCGCGGGGTAGCAGCTTCAGAATGGAGCAGCATGAATGACTGTACATATTGCTCGTTAATATTCATGAGGGCGCTAGTTGCCTGGATGTTCGGACAAACTGTACAAACTTAGAATGGCAGCATTTGAAAAGCATAGTTATAACTTTGGAAGTTGACAACGTCCAGAAGCTTCATTTCAACATCCTTCAATATTGAAACACAGTATTCAATATGATACAGTGGTTGAAATATAGAGGACTCAGTGGAAGAAAAGAAGGTAGTGTTGGTAGAAAGCACTTGGTAGCACAAAGTTATTTAGGCCTACTTGGCCTAGGTCCTGTTCAGGAAGACAGGTGGGTAAAACTATTTATTTATCAGTGCATTGCAAATATATATTTTTTCTAAATTAATGTAAATTTGGAAAAGAGTGTTTCACCATGATGAGCAACACTGACAATACCAGTGTTTCAATATCACATTGTCACATAAACATCTTGATACAAAGTTGTCTTCGTCTTGAGCACAGCTTTGCAGTGGACCAACGTCATTACATTGTGCACATTACATATTAATAATCTAAATCAGCCGATCAGACAAAGTCTCTGAGCCTTGGTGGGAGTGGCCATTGCTCTCTGGGGTGTCATGGTGTCATGATCAGCTGCTTAACTCCTGATTATGGACATGTGCCCTTGGTATGTACATCATAATTCCTCTTCTTTTATACTCCAACATCCTGAATATGCTTTTTGGCATATTCATCCCAGATGAATCAAGAGGCCACCCGAAAGCAGGCTATGCTGGAGTCCTCAGCTTATGGTCAAGCATCAAGAGGGCATGTGTAGAAGAAGTTGAATCCTGGACTGCCATTCGGCATGCCATGAGGACCAGTGACAGGTGTAAATGGCAGTTGCTCTGATGACCGGACATGATGAAAGCTCTCAAGAGTCTGATTAAATCACTCCACTTCCCATCACTGGGAGTGTAGCGGAATGTAGTGTGAGTCTTGACTATACCCAATTTCTCACACATGGTGGAAAAATCTCTGGACACAAAATTCTCCCTTGATCACTGTGGATAGACTTTCTGGGACCAGTTTGCAAAACCTTCCTTCCATCAGGGTGTTCACCACAGCTCCTGCCTCCTGGTCAGACAGAGCAAACATTTCGAGTTATTTTGTAAAATAAAGAATGAAGTGATTCCCACACTTCATTCCACACCCAAAAGAGCTTCTGCATGGATATACCTGTTGGAAACTGTTGGAACAGAGACTTGGATCACCCATGTGATCTTTTACAAGTTGTGCAAAGGTCGCAACACCTGCAAAAGTCCTCCACTTATGTCCTTAGTCAACTCCAGTAAAAGGTCTGGCTGAAGCATGGGACAGCCTTTAGGCATTTTTCCACTGGCAAGTCATCCACTAACCAGTTAACGAGTGGTTTGGTTCTCCCCAAGCTGCTTCTCTGTTATATGGTATTTTCCTCCCTATGGTGGGCAGGCTGTGAGCACACAGCACCTGTGGTCAACTGTCTGCTGATGTTTACAACAACACTCAGCAAAGAGAACCTCAAAGTTGTGGTTCTGATGGACTCAAATAAACTCAGATATTTTATTTTGTCTTATTGAAATTCATTGCTGGCCCAAACATAATAATAAAGACTCAAATCAACTGATTATTTCGCTATACATATTATTCTGTGCTGGACCTGATAGCAAACAAAAAACTCCAAATGTTGAGCCATCTGAGCTTTAATTTTTGTAAAACTGAAAAGTAAGCATAAAAAACCCACACATGAACAGTTTCCATATCTAAAGTTCAGACATCGCTGTATGAAAGACAGAATTTTAAAACATAATGCCACGAAGGCTTGACACTACGGAGCCCTCTAGAGGACATGGAGAAGTTTGTCGTTTGCCTTTCATCACAATACTGTACTGATCAGTTATGTGACATAACTGAATACTGTAAGCCTTTCTTACAGTGGCCGCTGTACTTTCTGCTTTAATATAAGGTTATGTGAGGTTTTTTCATGAATGTTAATATGTCTTTGTGAAATATCTGAAGTTTCACATCTTTTCCTTTAGGATAGAAAGGCACTGAAACCTAGTTTAGGTTCCATAAGTAGGAAATAAATAAAAATACATCCTAATTTGGACTATTTCTGAGTTATTATCGCCGGGTAAATAGTCATCTGACAGTTTTGATTGTGTCTCTGTTGTGGGCCACAGCCATGCCAAACAGAGTCAATCTCAGAAATTCCTTAAATTTTCTCCACAATCTTTTCAGTCCTTCGTTGTTATACTGCTGGAACTTCTAACTACAGAACTGCTGTAGAAAATATCACTATACAAATGCCATTGGGACAGAAACTTGGAACATGCAACTGTACTTTCAAATAGGTGAACTGAAGTTGAGAGAAGCCTTTATTAGGTCTACTGGCCTCTGTCTACAGAAGTCCGGTCTACAGGGAATAGTTAAATTCTTCTTTAAAATTACCTCGGAGCGGGCCTTGGTCTCTTCCAGCAAACTCATCACATAAGACTGAGCTGTCTGGGAGGTAAGCAATGCTTGCAGCTTATGCTGATGCACAGGATATTCCACCAACTCTTTCAACCTGAAGAAAACAGGAATCACATTGAACAGATTTAGTATACAGTAAGTTTTACATGATATTCATGAGTTTTCTATTCATGAATACGTACAATAATCTGAGAAAGACCACAACAAATTTTGTTTGATGCCATTTATACTTAATGGTAGCACTGTTTTATTACTTGATAAAAGTAATTATGTTTTATTTAGTTTCAAATAAAGCTAAATAAAAGGCCTAATGGCCTCCGTTTCTCTCAGTTCACCACAGTTCATGGTTCACAAACGACTCCATGACAAAGAGCTGGCCAGTCCCAACAAGGCTGAAAAATCCCCAATCAGAAATGAACTGCTAAAAGGGAAAATGCTTTCTAACTCCATATTTTAAAACCTACAATTTTCTTGTGTCACTTAGTTATGTTCTGTTTGTTTTTTTTTTTTTTGCCTTTGTCTTGCATGTATGTATTCCAGTTCGATCTTTTGTGCTTTTTCACACCTTTCTGTTCTTTTTTTGTTTCCTTTTTTATTCATTTCCTTGGTTGTTTTGCATACCTGAAAACAACTCCATACTGCTTTCCACTCCGCCTCTATTTACTTGACTGCTCTGATGTTTGTTTTGTATATTGATGAAAATATGTGTATAGATTACCATGAAGATTAAAATGGGGGAGAAAACAACCCCTTCCAACACATGGAGGATGTGTTGTCATTGGGAATTTCACTGTCGAGTATCTCTGAGGTTCCTGAAAAGTGCTATAGCAGTCTGATGTCACGCCATTGCTTTACCAACAGCTCACAGACATAATAAATTTTACAGATTTTTTTCCAAATCATGTAGAAATAGCAAAAATTCTACATATGATCAAAATATGAATACACTTCAGAAAAATTACAGACCTGTCTTCTATTTTAATTTTGAAATTAAAATCTCAAGTCATCCTTTACCACAATAAAGGATGACTAAATAAAAACTACTGGTGACAATTAGAAGTGTGCCAATCGATTATCTATTAAGCAGCTATTAGCAGCATGTACTAATAACTTAAAAGCACATAAAAAACCTGCACCAAAAATAGGTAAAGATACAGAAGCTATCACAAAGTATATAATATATATATTAAAAAATATCTATAAAAATCTGTTAGATTGTAAAAGCAATCTGACCCTTCACATCAAAGTAAGAATGAGAGGGCAGCTTAACAAAAACAGGGGAGGAATGAGCAACAGTTGCAACATGCTTTCTGAAATTATTTTTGGTCTGTTTGTTGGTAATTTTTTACTAATTCTTTTTGTTTTAGATTATTCTATTTTTCATTTCAATGGTTGTGATCTTTCTCTATTTCTCTGTGAAATAGAGTTGTAATAGTTGCTTTATTTATCACTATTGTCTACATGTTTTCTTCTTAAATATTGAAATAATTGTGATATTGTGTTTTATAAAATGTGCTTCCTTGAAAATCAATAAAGATAAAACATATATAATAAAAATATAATCCTAACCCTATATTAAATAAAAAATACTAGAAATTGCACATAAGCTGTTGTGTGAAAACTGGTATGTGGAGGTGAGATCTTTCCCGGTTCATGCAGAAAATAGATCATAAAAGGCCTGAAGAAATCATATCACAAGAGTGATATGTTGATTTACTGTTGATTATGAAAAAGCACATTATGTTGATGATCATAAAGTGAGTAAATTCTGAAAGTTGATTATTGATGATTAAGCAGTTATGGTTGAAGAAATGTATTAAAAGATGATTTTGTTGATGATTTATAGTGATCATATAGCACATAAAGGATTGAAATCACATCATAAAGAATAGGGACAGTCTGTGGGTGCAGAGACAATCCTGGACATGTCTTGAGGATGGGTTTGGACATGCCTGGTCTGTGTACCAAATAAGGAAATCCAGGAACTAAGCCAGGGACTTGAGATAAACAAGTAAAGCAGAAGTGGACAATGCGTTGACCGAATACGGGAAGGCATGGGACCTTCCATGAGGTAATTAAATCCTTGAGAAGTCACGTACACCATCTCCCCATACACAACAATGGAGAGAGAAAAATATAAAGGCCCGAAAGATAGGAGGAATAGAGTTCTTCCATCTCCGATGGATCGAGCTAACAGCCGCAGGCACTTCTGGAACAAAAAAATAGTTCTTGTTCCAGAAGTGGACTGGGATGTGAAGTAGTAGTTTATCTAGCCAGCAGGAGCCGCAGGCTAGAGAACCAGCAGGAGCCGCAGGCTAGAGAACCAGCAGGAAGCTGCACCCTGGAACCAGATGGAAGTCGAGCCTTCACACTGCTGAAAGAGCGACGGGACCTGATGCCCAATAGCTCTGGCTCCTGATTTGATTGTGGCTACTGCACTCAGCCCTAAAGATCTCGAGATTGCTGCAATGGACGTGGGAATTGGACAAAGGTCACAAGAGTGATGAAGATTGGGATGTTTAGAAGACAACAACCAGCTTTACTTTGTTCCTATTCGAAGGAGGATTTGTCATACTGAGTCAAGACTCTGTCCAAGGATATTCAAGCTCTCTATTGCCGAGATCCTCCACCACCTGGGTATGAGTCTGCCGCACCGCAAAGCCTTTTTTAGTAAATAGATGGCACAGTCTAAGGAAAGAATTTAGGAAAGGTTTATGTTGATCTTAATTAAATTCATTTTTGTTCTTAAATACTTACAATCATTGATGATTAATCTGGTTGTCATTTACCCATGCTCAAAGCTTGCTTAACAAATATATATATTAAAATTCTAATGAGGTTCGTGAACATTGAAATTAATTGGGTCATTTTATTGGTTGAGGTTCTTCTACTTGATGTAAAATCCATGTGCATGATTCTCGAAATGTGGTGGCTCCAGACTTTCCTTTAGTTGTTACATAGATAATGACCCTGGGACTTACAAAGTTGCTGAAACTAATCTACCTATTAACAAGTGCTCGTTATTATTAGAGAGAGGGCTACCGTTAACAGAAGTGGTTATTGAAGTTAGGCCTACTCAACCGATTGCTTCTTAACTGAAAAGGCTCATAAGTTCTGGATTGTAGGTAGTTAGAGATAGACAAGTCTCTCTCTAACTAGGTTTTAGACACTTTCCAGACCCTTTAGACGGAGAACTGGTCAGTAGTAAGCCAAAAGGGATCTTGAGGAGTAGGGTGGAGCTGGCTATTGCATAATAACAAACGCTGTTGTTTTATTTTTCTCTGTCTACATAACTTTATTGCTATATTTTAGTGTTTACCAAATATCTTTGAAAGTAATCTTTGCATATCTAACTTGTAGCAGAACTGACATGGCTTTGTTCATTTATGCAGTGGCCTTTATTTCTGGTTATAGTCTCCTGACACACCAACCAAATCCAAGTTAAATAGTTTAAAATTAAGTTCTCACCTGATAGACCAGCCAGGCCATCTGGTGTCTGGAGATCCTTGAGGAGTGTCCTCAAAAGTCACATCATCACCACTTCTAAATATTGCAGCTGGCGAGAAACAGTTGGTCATGTTGGCTTTTGGAGCAACAGTTAAGCAGATGCTGGGATCATTTTTATTTCCAGCTGTGGCATTTCCTCCACTGAAGTCATCAGTGCACAGTTTTTCTAAATTGGGCATACTAAGAGTCCTAGACTGATGCATCTTCCGGGTGGGAAGTCTGCCAAGTTTACTTCGCAGCACCACAGGGTTATGGGATATAATCCCATCTGGGGCGTTCTGATTTTCATTCCCTGCAGATTTTCTTAGAGGAGGGAAAAGGGATGCCAGTGATGTCAAACAGTTGTTGTAAGAGCTGTTATTTCTTTGGTGGCCCCGCCAGTCAACAGAATTAACCGAGTCCATATATCCAGCGATCCTCTGGTTAAGCGACGCTGTATATGCTACTGCAAAAGTATGAACATCACTGCTTTTAGCCACCGGTTTATCCAAGTTAGCAAGGTTTTCATAGGACTTTATTTTATGTCGAACAGAAAAAGGCTTGTAGCCTGCAGACAGGGGGACACCCTTGGATAAGCCCCACCTTTCCATGGTTCGACAGTTTGGTGGAGATGTGCTGAATTTCAGGGTCTCGCCTGACACCAGAACTTGACTTGGTTTTGGGTCATCCGCTGTGGTTAGCTGAGCTTTTTCAGTATCACCTTTGGTCATGCCATTAGTTATTTCACCCCTGGAAATGGGAGAAAGTTTAGATGCTAATCTTGCATATGTTTTGCTTTTAGAGTCTTTAGTGAGTTTTGAAGCTGTTTCTTTATTATATTTAAATAGTGGTGATATGAGACCAGGCGCTGGAGACAACTGAAGTTCCATGAATGTTCTCTGGGTAATAGAGGGGCATGACTGCTCTAGTGATAAGACAGATGATTTGGAATAAGAAATGATGTTCTTTTCTTTGGTACATTGTACAGTTTGAATGGTGCTTCCAGAGAGCACACGCTGAGCTGCATTGTGCGTTCTGTCACTGACTCTGGATAATTCATGGCCAATGTTCACATCCAACTGCCTGTTTGAATTCAAGAAGCTGGACACGATTGTGGTTGGTTGAAATTTGGTAAACTCTTTCATGGCAACATTCCTGTCTAAAGGTACGAGGTTTTCACTTCTGAATGCTTTCAGTTGAGGTTCTTCCTGTGCAATACTGATACTTTGAATACTTAACACGTTTAATTTTGGAAGTCCAGCTGCCAGCTGATGTTCAACTTTCCCACTTTCTGCAGGATAGGCTGAATCATTAAGTGGCTTTAAATCAGATGTGTTCTTAAAAATGAACATAGCCTCTGCTTCACCTTTCAAGATCTCATTATTAAAGTCAGAACCTCCTGAATGTGATCCACCACTGGAATCTGAAGTCTTGGATTCAGCGGAAGAAGTGTTTGAGGACTGTGATTCATCTCCAGACACACCTGAAGGAACCTGAGTGATGCCAGCGTCTGGCTGGGAGAGGCTTCCTGGTGTGAAGTAAGTCTTTGTTTGGGTACAGTTAATGGGACTCTCTCCAGCTGGTCCATGTCCTGTCTTGGTGCATGTTGGCTCTGCAGAGGTGGCGTCTGTTATTTGACAAAGCTCAAAGTGCAGACATGAAACAGTAGAGCTCTCTTCATCTGATGGTACTTTAGATGAAGCCTGACCCGGATCTCTCAAAGATTCTGAAGTAATCTCAACAGCCACTTCACTTTCCAGTCTATTGTTGTCAGGGACAGATTCACTCACTGAAGCATCTGTGTTTTCTTTTGTACACACATTTTTGGAAACATTATGTTGAACACAGATGCTGACATCCTCCAGCTGGGCTGCAGAGGTAAATGAGTCAGAGATTTTTTTAAAAGGGAATTTGTATTCATCTAAAGAAATCCTGCCTTCAGATGAGACATCAATTATTTTTGTAATGGCTGGTTGAAATTCACTTCCAGTTCGGGTTGGGCTCTTGGATTCTCCTGAGTTTCTCCATGTAGCTACAGCAGGTGTGTCTTGCACAGACTGGGTAGGGTTCCATCTTGTAACTTCATCACTTGCTCCGGGTGATGGTCTGGACAGCCGTCCTACAGCTGAGATCAACAAGAAAAAAGCACCTGAGTCAGATCAGTCTATCAACAGGTGAAATCATATGTCTATATACAAAAGACACATTTTCCTAACAGTCTAATGTTAATTCAGACCAAACCTCTCTTGTGTCAGTATTCAAAAATGATTTCCATTTGCTAAATGCCATAGTAATGATAGAAACACAAAATAATCAGTTACAGAACTACACCATAGAGCTAGAGCTCTATATAAATAAGATCAGAAATAAATTGTATTCATTCTTATCACAGGGTGGATTGAAGATGGATAGAAATAACAACTGAATAATAAAATATGCTTTTCCAACAGCTAAAGCAAGAAAGGTTAAAACACTCACGAATAAATTTGTTTCTCATAGGAGGGTCTCCCCACACAGAAAATACATTTTGTGTGGGGATGGATGACAATTGGACCTGAGACAGAAACCATGACGACTACAGACTAAAACTGAAGACTGACATGAACTGTTTGGATACGACAATGACCAAGGTGATGATCTTTAGACTCTACTCTACTTGATGAAATAAGCACTTTATAAAAGATTTCATGAGGAAGTCTAGACTAAAATCTATAACTCATGGTTGTCATAAAAAAACAAGATTGAATGAATAAATTGAAGTATTTAAAAGTGATATGTGGTGAACATAAACAATATTAGAAATATTAGAGAATAATGTTTCTTTAAACAGGACAATGAAAAAGGAAAATTAAATGACTTATTGTTTTTGGGTGATGTTCTTAAAAAGATGTAATTTCAATGAACAATCTAAAAATAAAAGATCAACTGACATAAAAAATACCTTAAAACACTGAGAATGAAGTTGTGTTGTTTATTTTATTAGGGGGATGAGGGGCCAATAACAGTCCCAACCAGTTTTGTTCAGCTTGAACGGGGATTACATCCTGCATCATCTTGGTTAAAGAATGCCAGTGTGACTGAGAATGAATGAGTTTGTGAGGAGAAATTGACGTCACATTGTCTACCTTTGGTGAATGGATGTATTGATACTTTTCTGATTTTCAAACTATGTAGAAACAATACATGTTTTGTTTATGACTACAATAGGGATAAATCTGGGGAAACTTACAAAGCGATCTTATATTTCAAAAATCCTTGATTAAACAGAAAAATCATTTTTAATAAAGGCAAAAGTCATGAAATTATTGGTGAGTCACATGGCTTTAAGAATTCTTTGATTTGTTACAGTGGGCAACTGTGACTATATGGCAGAGTAGTTCGATTCCAGCTTCCTCCTGCCACATGCCGATGTGCCTCTGGGCAAGGCACTTAACCCCAAATTGCCAACCAGTCTGCGTATCGGTCTATAAATGTGTGGGCGAATGGGTGAATGTGACTCTAGTGTAAAGTACTTTGAGTGGTCAAAATGACTGGAAAAGCTCTATAAGATAAGACCATTTATTCATGTGAGACAACATTAGCATTAGATTAATTCATTTTGACTAAATACTCCACAAAGATTTCTAAAATAATGATTACATAAATTGACATCAAAATTTATTTTGCTTGTCCAATAGTAGGGTTTTTATGTAAGATTTTACAGGTAACATTGGAAACAAACAGGGTAATATCTACTGTTTTGAAACGCTCGGAATTTTCTACATTGATAACGGTTTCAAATTTGTTTGATATAATGCAAATTGGAAATCAAAATTTTCATACACTTTTTCTTAGTTTTTGTAGGTTATCTTTTAGAATGGAGATGGGAAAAAACAGGACAGCTTTACTTGAAGCACACTACAAATTTGATAAATTCGGAGACGTATTGCCGGCAGGAAGACTTGACTTGTTACAAAATCTTTGGAATTACTTGAAAAGGAGGAATTTGACATTAATGAAAACTGAGAAATTGTGGTCTAGCAGATTTGAGTTTTCATCATGACCTATTCTGAATTTTTCTCTTATTTTATCCTCAAAACAGGATTTCTTTTTCAATGACATTCATCACTTTGAAGCGTTTAAAAAAGGACGCAGAATTGGTCAAATAAATATGACTGGGATTAAAATGGGAAATTATGAAAGAGCAAGAGATTGATTTAAGATTTATTATATTTGTTACAAAACATTTTTCTGTCTCTGAAACAACTTATAATTCAAATCTACTGTCAGTTTGGATTTTTTTTGTTTTGTTTTTTACTAACAAACTAACTAAACTAATTACTTATGTTTCTTTTAAACACAAACAGATTGGAAAACAATTGGATCACAGCATATCTATGCCTAAAATTTGTACCTGAGTTGAATTAATACATAAATCCATGTCTACCTAACCATTTGATTTGGATGGCAATAAAATGTTGCAGCACTGCTAAATCTTTGTCTCAGAGGAATTTTCACATTTATTTTAGCTCCTCTGTCTAAATTGATCATTTCTCATCTGTGAGTTTAAAATGAAAGACGATTCTGCTTTTCTAGAAAAGCAATCCAAATTCTGATTTTTATTCGTTTTTGATGCTGAAATATTTGGCCTTCAAGGCAACGTTTTGTAGTATGCTCTGATATGGAAGAAATTGCTTACACGGGGCATCCAACTTTATGGGGAATATGGACATTTTCGAAGGATGGGTTGATGTTATCAAACTGGTTTTTGATTTTAAATTCTTGAGTTATGTTTGTTTTCTTCTTTGTAAGACAAGAAAATACAGAGGGATATTATAGAGATAAAACATTACTGATAGGGGTGCAGTGGTGGCGCAGGGGCAAAGCACAACCCATGTATTGAGAACTTAGTCTATTTGGCGGTGGTCACAGGTTCGACTCCCGGCCTGGTGACATTTGATACGTCTTCCCCCTCTCTCATTACCCTGTTTCCTGTCAAACTACTTTCAAATAAAGGCCACCAGAGCCAACAAAACCTTGAAAACATCTCATAGTCTATTTTGAATTCTAGACAGCTGATTTGGAAACCTTGTGAAACGCCTCCGAATATTTTAGTTTTTGAGCAAATTGTCTTATAAACAGTTACATAGATTCCAAACTGATTCCAAATTGATAATTTAGTCATATCTTCAGTTGGAGAACTGAAAAAGCCATTTCTCAAACCAAATTATATGCAAAAAATGGGCTATCAAATTTGATAAATGAATTGAAATTAAAACTCAGGTGTTTCTGGCAAATTGTTTGGAAAATAGAGAAACAAAATTATAATTGGAGACATCAAAATTAAGGAGTTGATTCCACAACCAAAACAACGGATGGAGCGCAACAAGGGGAGGACTCCTTGGGACCTGATGACATCACTTCGCTATCCAGTGAAGAAACGATGAATTAGTAGAGCGGTCCTAGATATTGACTAGTCTTGTGAATTTTTTATGGTCATTTTATTCTGCTGGTAGGGTTTCTGCTATTATAACTCCTAAATTAGTCAATATTTTCAAACTGCTCAAGCAGTCATCAAGGGCCTTAATCGTATTTAAAAGTATATGTGTATGTATATATGTAAATATATAGGCATAAATGTGTCTATGAATGTGTATGGGTATGAAAATTGATGTGTGTATAATTAAATTCCCTCTGAATATCATTAATGACCACACTCCAGTCCGGTAGGTGGCAGTAAATGCACTACTGGATGTGCATCTGATAGGTGCACATCCAGTACCTATCATCCAATGATGTCAAACACTGAAAGAACACAAAAGAAGAAGCAGCACACCTGAAACCAATATTAGCTCATTAGTAGGCTGCATGCAAGTGCATGCTAATGCATGCAAGTGCATGCTAATGCAATTTAGTATTTTAATTCAAGCATATAGGGACACATCAAAAAGTTGCGAGACTTAGGTCTTCAAGGACTGCAGTTTGAGATCAAGGAATTAGTGTAAGGCACTCAACTAATGCTACATCTGATGACTAAATTGTCTCGTATGCTATAAAATATAATTGCCAAACTGCTCTGTAGAAGTGAGGGAGGAATGTTGGGTCAAGATGTTGGGGTGGAATGAAACAGGACAACATGGTGGTCTATTTTAAAGACATATTCTGCAACTACTAACTGGTAAAACCGAGAAAGTAGCAACCATGAACATGACATTTATTCCATGTTCTAATAGAGAATCTTTGAAAAGCATAGTTGTAATTCAACCAGCACAATCTCAGTCCAGTGTGTTATTTACTCTCATGATTACCATGGAAATAAAAGGTTTAATTGTATATTTACATAGCCAATATTCAGACATGGCATCTTGTTGTTTCTTGCAGGTTGCTATGTTGCTATTGAGTTCTTGTCTCACTGTCAGGTAAATAAATATTCAAGACTAGAGTTTATAGATCAGCAATGTAAGATTATGTTGAACTGAGAGCAACATGTGCCACAAAGCAAGTTCAATTCTTTTGGGAAACTTTGACAATCTATTCTAAAGAAGAGCATGTGTCTTGTTTGTTTTGTTGATTAAAATGTGCAGCTGCTATCAAGGACAAGACTTGTGATTTATGGAAACGTCACAAAGTTTGTCTAAAAAAGGATTACAAGCGTGCCCAATAAAAATAGAATATTTGATGCAAGGTTAAAACATGGCAAACATGTTTAGCCTTTCTGATGGTGAAAAGACTCTTTGTATGGCACTTATTTTTAGAGAGATGCTCTGGTTTGATTCTTTTCCAAATGTAGATGAAATATGACTCCATGGTCAGCAACATATAGGAGAAAGGAGCCAGACCTGCAAATCTGCAGCAACTGCAACTTAACTGCAGATTTGTAGTGCCGAGTTTTTCTGCTATACATTTGTTGGTAGTTGCAAAGGCATAATCTTGAAACTATAAACAACTAACATGAATGACTGTTCCACAGAATAACTTTGGAGAGCTATAGAGGCAAAGGTTAGATCTAAGTTGCTCATTCAGAGCTTTGGAAGATGAGAAGGGTAAATGTTCCTAATGTAAAGCTCTTACAACCACCACCTGCCCCAAAACTTGACAGTTATTGCAGTTGAAGATTTAATGTGTTTTTTAAATTCAGCAAAATGTTCCTCTTGTGGTCCAGCTTCTTTAGGAAGAAATTCATCTTAGTAATGAGTGTAGAAGCCACTGAGCCAGAACATCAATGTAGATAACACTGTGTGGATTTGATTTCAGGTATAAAATTTGCAAACAAAATGGTTTCAAACTGCAGCTGCCTTTTATTTCTGTTCAACAATCAGTAAACAACTATTTACCCAGGTTCATTTCTAAATTTGCCTGGGTCTCCACATACAGAATTCTAAAATACTTTGGTAAGATGAAGAGCTTCTGTTGGTGTGACTTTTGTCAATAAGCTTTTCATTTGTTTTTATTTGGAGTTTTTTTTAGAGTCAGGGTAACCTCCATGTGAAGCTAAAAGTCTAAATCTGACTGAGTGTGCATGACAAAACTGTGGCATGTTGGCTGCTTGACTTTTCTCTTGGTGTAGAATGTTCCTCAAAATAATACCCAGGTTGGGACATCTCTGAGCTGCTAAATGAGCTGAAGAAATGGGTCATAACTTGGCTCTTTTTAAAACTCACTTGTTGAGGACCACCATTCTTTGTGTTGGTCTTACCTGAAGTTCCTGGCCTCACCTCCAAAGACAGCTTCACTGGAAGATGGTGCATAAGTTCACAGATTTCCTGGTAGCTTGAAGAGTTCACTGGTTTACCTCCAATTTTCACAATCTCATCACCGGGGCAGAGTTTAGAGTCCTAGAAGATAAATAAGAAGAAACTTAGAACACCATTTTGACAATGCTTCACTCTAATATATGATTTTTGGCACATAACTGAAATAAACTGACGTTCATTCACACGTACCCATTCAGCAGCACTATCAGGCTTTAAACCAGCAATCATAACTCTCAGAGGTGATGACAGAATCTCCAGTTCCAGTCCAAACATCTCTTCTTCTTTTCTCTTTAAGATAACAGTGTGAAAACCTCTGAAATCTTCCCGTTCAAAGAGCTGTCTGGGCGTCAGCCATGTTGCTATCTCTGCTCCACTTGGTTTGGAGTTAGATAGCATCTGTGGAAAGTGTGGAGGTGTGGATTTTTGTTGCTGGGTCAGTGGTTCAGTGTTTTCAGCTTTATCTGATGCCTCATCATCACTGATCTCATCCTTTAAGTATATGACCTTTCGTTGGCAAAGAGGTGGGCTCTGCCAACACATTGAGGTGGTACTGGAGGCAGCGAGGGCCTGGCAAAGGGGCTCTGTATGCTGACGGAAAGGGACAGAAATCTTGTCATGTGATGTTATTCCTCCAGGGCTGTGGTTAACATCTGTCACAGAGGTGCTGCATGCTGAGAAAAACACACAACATAATAAACTCCTGAAGCATTTTACAGTCCCTCCAGGAAGTTATAATGAGGCAATTTCAACTATAAATGCAAATCCACTTATCATTAGCAAAATTTGCAAAAACTTGCAATTTTCACCAGTAATCAGACGTTTTCCATAAGTTTCACCAATCAGCTTAGTGTTTTCTGTATTTCCTTCTTTTTCTCCAATCACTGCAGTGTGGCTGAATTTTGACCAATCCTTTATGCACCTTTCAAATTTAACGTCCTTTTTACTGAGTCCTTTTGAAAGTAAACTTGCAACATTTGTGGTGAATTGGTGTTATATTAGTAAAAGTGAATTGAGTCAAACTGAAATGTTCTTACCTTGTGGTTGTAGTAGGCCATATTTTGAGGCTCTGCTGCCCAGCAGATGGAGCCCTTCACTACTGTGTGAGCTCTTCAGAACAGATATGACTGAGTGGCCAGGAATCTCATGAGGGAAGTACTCGGATAATTCTGTCTCGGAGCTCGGGGATCCCTTCATCAGCATTAAAAACATCAGACAAAGAGGAACATAAAAGGAATGCTGGTTCAGATTCACAGCTTCCAAGCAATTAGTATTCCAAAGCAGCTGTGGCTACAATCCACTTTCTTGTTATTATCAGTGTGAGAATGGAAATGACTGGTTTCAATCAAAAGCGTCTTTGAGAGCGTTTTGAGGTTTGAAAAGTGTTATACAAGTCTGATGTCATTTCATTATTAAAACTGTAGCTTAGTCAGCTTTTAAACTCCTACTATTAAGCACAAAAATTGATTGTTTGTTACAATCCATCCATCCATCCATCCATCCATCCATCCATCCATCCATCCATCCATCCATCCATCCATCCATCCATCCATCCATCCATCCATCCATCCATCCATCCATCCATCCATCCATCCATCATCCATCCATCCATCCATCCATCCATCCATCCATCCATCCATCCATCCATCCATCCATCCATCCATCCATCCATCCATCCATCCATCCATCCATCCATCTTCTTACACCCTTATCCTGTTGGGGTCATGAGGGTTGGTGGTGTCTATCTCCAGTGGTCAAAGGGCGAGAGGCGAAATAACATCCTGACAGGTCGCCAGGTCATCACAGGGCAACACAGAGACAAACAGGACAGACATCCATGCACACACCCAGGCCTTGGGAGAATTTAGAGAGACCAATTAACCTGACAGTCATGTTGTTGGACTGTGGGAGGAAACCCGAGGACACAGAGAGAACCCACAAATGCACAGGGAGAACATGCAAACTTCATGCAGAAAGATCCCGGGCCTGGAATCGAACAATCCAGTTATATAAATCAAAAAGTAGAGGTCATGCAAAACATTATGGTAACACCACATGTCCATTAAGAGGATCATGAGGATTTAATTATGGTAAAACACGCAGGCGTTTAAGAAAGATTACAGAGCACATCATAAACTGTGAAGTGCTCAGTTGTCTTTAGTTGAATCAATCTTTAGTTATTGATTCAACTAAAGCCAGTGTTTCAAATGTGAGACTGAAGAAGCAGAACTGAAATCCTGGATTAACACTTACTCTGCTGACAGGCTCAAGGAACCTCTTCATGGTCCAGCTGAGCGCAGAGGGGCTGTCCTCCACATTGGACTTTACATCTGGCCAAAAGCTCTTACAAGACTGACCTTGAGGTTAGGGTGAGAGTAGTTAAAATAAATATTGTACTTTAATAAATATTAAATATAACGTTTCAAAAACTGTAAAATCAGAGAGTAAAACATAACTCTCGGTGAAAATCAGACCTTGGCAATGAGAGGAGGGTCTGTCACTGAATACATTGTCCTTATTGGTTGATTGAGCAATAATTTGATCCATTTCTTGCTCTGATACCTGCAACCCGACACAGACACAGACCACCACTCTGTATTATCATTGGTTCACCAACAATGCTAAACCGATGCTGCATTTCTCCCTCTCATATGGGAAATCTCACTTTATGAGATCTGACAGGTGTGGATGCAAAGTTAAGACAACTTAATATCAATATTTATCACTGAAATAAGCCACATTTACTTGCTGTCATACGAACAGTTCTGAATCATGTTTGTATTATAGCAGTATGGTTACAGACAACCTGTATATTCTGCCAGGTTGTCTGTATATTCACATGCTGTTGAGATGTGCCCACAATGTGTTTTATTCATCAAATGTCTCTGTATTCATGAAGACTAAACATATTTTCAAAGAACATTCTGAGTCTGTCAGTAGTTTGGGATTATCTGACCTTGGCGTCTGGATGTCTGCTTATAATGAGACTGACTGGACCAGGTCCACATTCACTGAGAATAGCGTAAGCCTCACTAAGTGCAGCATGACGAAGACTGACAGAGTCCACCTCCAGAATCTGATCTCCACGACTGCACACACAGAGAACAGGGTGTGAAGACAGCAGAGTCAAAATAGCAGCAGGTTGGCCCTAAAGAACAAAATGACACAGCTTACCTGAGCCTTCCATCAATCTTGGCAATGGACCCGAGAGCTAAGCTGTGGATGTAGATACCAGGAACAGAGTTCTCCTTCATCAGATAACAGACTCCAATCCCCAGACCAACTCCATGTTCTAAAATAAAGAACATCATAGTACAAATGTTCAAGACAGTCATTTCTTAAAATACAGCAATTATTTTGTACTGGAGCCTTGCAATGAAATTTCTTTAAAATATATATAGACCAATAAACTGTGTTATTGGACCTAGTGTCAGTGTGGATTGATATAGCATAGCATAACATACATATTGCTATGTTGTTGGGTTTGTTCATTTTGTATTCCTTAGTTTCTCTTTATCAGATCAGTCTTGTTTCTGTTTTTGTCAGTAATTCTAGTTTATTAGGTTTCCTTATTTCTTGTGTCTAGCTATACATTATTCTTTGATTTATTTTCCAAGTTCCCCTGTTGTGTGCTCTCAATCGTTTTTAAAAACCGAATGTATTTAAAGAGCCTGGAGGAGAACAAATATCTTAGACCATCTTGCCTGCTGGTGCAACTATTCCTAACTCTCCACAGAGAGAGATTTAAAAAGCAGCAGGAAAAGGAAAGGAGGTATATTAGCAGTGACACTGAACTCTTGGCAGCAAATTTCCATCCACATCATTTACTAAGAGAGATCACTAGTGTTATTTTGGCAGCTGCTTACATTCCTCAGCTGCTGCCGACAGAGCATGTAGGCACCTGGACAGTTCCAGTGTTGCTGTTTGTCTCACACAATGCATTTGTAGCTATATCTAATGATTTTAATAATGTCTCACTCTCTGCTATACTGGCAACATTTCAACATTCTAGTAGCTGCTTACCAGAGAAAACAAGACATTGAAATAATTTGATACAAATGTCAAGGATTCATACATCTCCAAAGCAAGACCTCTTCTGGGGAAACCAGACCACAACTCTTGTTTTCCTCTGCACAGAATATAAAGTCTTTGTTCATAGACTGAGTACCTGTAACTAAAAAGGACTGTGATAAAAAAAAGAAAATGGCCGAGTTTCCAAAGAAACTGACAGTTTTCAAAGGAGATCGAGAGATCAGCATCATCCATGTGACTGTTAAAATCACTCACAACCAATGTTCCCTCTAAGCTGCGCCTGCGTAATCGCACACTGCTCACATATTCTCAGCGCACAAGAATATCTATGTAGCGCATAAAATAAAGTCCAACGTAAAGTGGACATTGAGCTCAGACATCAGTTTTGACTATGGACCAATAAATTTTTTTTTCCGTACTACTTTGCGATCGAACTCAGTGAGTGACAGGAATCCAGCCAATGATACGATACGGTTCACTTTCGCTACGTGGGTTACGTGCCTTGGTCATATGCGCCGTGCAGGTGAGAATAGAGCGGTAGAGTTAAGAAACGTGAAAACCATCCACCTTATCATGTCTACGTGGAACATCCACTCACCAAGCCAAAGTAAAAAAAAAAAGAAATGCACTTCTTCTAAGATCAAATGGAATCAATCAAATGAAAGGAATGGTCTGCATTGATACTGAAATGTTGAGTTCAGATTTTTGACAATGGATACTATGGATTACCAGTGTACAAATTTGACTATTTGTACACTGGCAAAGAAGTATGAGGCCATTCTCCTCCACCCACAGATTATGGAGACTATTAACAGTCAACATGCTGAATTCAAATAGATTAAGCAAGAAGAGACTGACCATCAACCTGGGCTAAGTGAACAACCACTGGAGAAGTGAGAAGAAGTGAGAAGACGTGAGAAGAAGTGAGAAGGGCAGACGTGAAAAAAACTGTAATTAAATATTTTACAAGAATTTATACTGCATCACAAGCTACAGAAAACATTGCATTGTGCAAAATATGAATGTTTTAATATGAACAAACATTTATGCCTGAAAGGTGTAATGTCTCATTTCTCACCCTGGCTGAAGCAGGACTCTTACTTATAGCATGCATCTCATGAACAGCAATGTTTTCTCTTTTTATTTTTCATTTTAATTGGGAAAATCACTTAAATTAAAATCAAATAAATAAAAATTGCAGATGTAATTTGATTTTTTTAATAAGCCATGCAACTTTCTATGATCCCAGATTTATGATACTTGTGCGTGGCCACGCCGTGTACACTGATGATGCTCACAGTGGTCCTCAGTGTGCCCAGGAAGCTTGTGTGTACGCCCAGACACATGAAAAATTAGAGGTAACATTGCTCATTGCAATAAAAAATTTGTGATAATAAGTTTATTGTAGGCAGTAAACATATTGAGAGGGCAGACATATGGGCAATCAAAGCAGGAAAATCCTCCATAAAAACAGCTTTTAAATGTAACCTTTATTTTGCCAGGATTACTCAGAGAATCCTGACCAATACTAACAGGGATCTGAGTTTTCCACAATGAATTCTAACCTTTATTAAGAGTAACCTCCATGACAATGCAGTCTTTTGGACCAAGACCAGGACCCTTGTGGCCTTCAACATCTTCCACGCCTACTGGGACAGGTGTGCCCCCATTAGTATAAGAGTTGGATGAGCTGGAGCGACTGGGTAGGGTTGGGGTTCCACATGGAGTCAGGCTGGGACTGCGCAGACGGGTGCGAATTGTAAGGGTGACAACCCCTCTTTTCAGTTGCTGTTAGAAACAAGGAAAAGAAGATGTCCATTAAAAAGGTGTAGAAGACAACAACTTGGGATTTCAAGACAGTGCTTCTAACGTTCCTTTTTCACATCTCCAGTGTGTCACAGCTAAAAAAACAAGTTTATTTGGAGGCACAAACTTAAAAGTACATTCCCAGGGTATGTATTTTAGGCATGCTAAACAACACCTTTAAGCACGTTTAAAGGTAGACATGCTTTTAATGTAAAAAAAAATATATATATATATATATATATATATATATATATATATATATATATATATATATATATATATATATATATATATATATATATATATATATATTCCCTTCTCACCCACCGCGGGTTGTTTTATCCTCTGAGCTCGGGTCCTCTACCAAAGGCCTGGGAGCTTGAGGGTCCTGCAGTATCTTGGCTGTGCCAAGGACTGCTGCACATTTCTGGACTGAGATGTCATCCCATAATGCGTGACCATTATGGGATGACACCTCAGTGAAGTGTCCTCTTCACTCTTAGGGTGAAGAGGACAACTCCGCGCCTCTCTTCACCCGAGTATCCAAGACATACGGCCGCAGATCCCATGAAACGATGACAAAGTCGATCATTGAACTGTGGCCTAGGGTGTCCTGGTGCCAAGTGTACATATGGACACCCTTATGCTGTTGTTCGTTACGGACAATCGGGTTGATTAGGGTTGTTTGGTTTAAGTTCATTGTTTTGCGTAAATATCTGGTGTGATGATGGAAGCCTAAAGTAAAATGATTTTTTTTGACAACTTTTTCAACTTGAAATGTCAGATTAAGTTAACTTTCATTTTCAACTAAGTTGTAAGATATTTTTAGTAATTATTTTGTTGATATTTTCACAAGGAATTGAGCATTTTTTATTTTTTTTCAAATAATCAAGTCGGAAGAATCAAACCATCTGTTACCACCCACGACCTTTGCTGGAAATGTTTGGTTTTGAAACCTAAAAAGATGCAAAAGTGTTTGGGTCTGATGAAAGCGTATTTACAAAAATGTGAAAAAAGTGTGACAACTTTGCTGAAACGTGCACTGGGCGGTGTGGAGCCTTGAGGAGACGCATATCTGATGGGGAAACACGGGTCTAGAGGGGATTCCCTCTTTATCCTGGATCTTGATAGTATCTCATTATTTTCAGATAGTATCTCGAAAGCTCAATTTTTTTCTTTTCTTTTTTTTTTTTTTTTACTGGAGTGGCAGAAGTAGGCTTCCTTAGTTCTACTCCTGGATTTCTACATTCCTGAACTAGAAATGTTATTTGTTTGCAACAAATGACATAGTGATGAAATATTTCAAAAAGTGTAGGAGTCAAAGTTTATTACATTTTAACCATGGCTCCTACAGCAGCTGTTAGGTAAAATTAAATCATTGTCCATTATAAAAGAGAAATTTGCTTAGACCTCTATTGTATCTTGACAGAACCTACAGAAACTTTCTTTAAAGTTTCACTTTAAAGAAAGTTTCTTTAAAGTTTTACTTTAAAGAAAGTGAAAGTACGTTCACATTTATTGCTGTGAACCTATGACAAGGTATACATCTTAAAACCTTTCTCCAGCCAGCTTACTTGTTGAGGTTTTGGATCGAGGTACGTTATTACTTGTTACCTTGGGCAAACCCTGCAAGCACCTTGTGTAAAATGCCATTTTCAATAGACCGGAAGCGTCCGAGCTGCTTATTCCCAAATGCAGAAGCTGACATGCAAAGAGCCCATTTGATTTAATTGTTTCAGTATACATAAATTAAAAGATTTTAAATTGTTTAACACTTAGATTTTTAATTTTAAGGAGCTGGCAAATTTCTTTGTAAAAGTTCAAAGAACAATTTTCATAGTTAGATTGTTTTGTTACCAGAGCTACTATCTGAGAATAATTTTTGAGCTCTATTTGTTCTCAAATACATCGTAGTAAATTGCACTTATAACTTACTCTCTTTAAACTTTGCCAGCTAAACTACCTACTTCTCCATGTTAAAGGTGGTGATGTTCTAAGAGGGGTCACTAAGTCAAATTCTGCTCAAGGCCTCATTCAACCTTGTACCGGCCCTGCATGATGAGCTTCGTCTGCTGCACTGTGCATCTGTCCTCTGGATATAGAGAGAAAACAGGAAGATTTCATTTAGCAGCTCTCCCCTCTTGTGTATATTGAGTTTTTAATAAGAGCCAAAGAGACTGTTTTGTTTGCCTGAGCATTATGGGATGAGGTTTCCTGATATATGAACATTTAGCACAATTCAATGTGAACATTTGCAGTTCACATTGAGCTAATGAGGCAGATTAAACATGGTGAAATTAAGCTCGACTCTTTCCTCGATGAATTCCCCAAAGAAACATGGATCCTCACAAGGCTTGATATAAATATCCACACATATTTATGTCAATACAAATATCCAGTTTGAGTGAAAGCAGGCACATACGATTTGTGCTGAGGTAAACGTCAGAGATCAAGCAGCGATAACATGAGAGGTGCCACAGCGGTGTGATTGGTGCCTGTTCCCTGTTCGATGCATGAACTATAAAAAAAAACTATAAACCCATCTCTCTTTCAGAAATAATTCTGCCCTTTGTTTGCAGTGTGTTTTATTTAAAAACAAAAAAACTTTTTTGTTTAGGGGGAAGCATCATAGAAAAGAATCAACTGGCTTAATATTTAACATTTATTCAGAAAATATAAACTAACTGTAAACATGAAGCTCACCTTGAAGGTCTGGATGGCTTGTTGGTGTGTGAGTCCTTGGAGAGAGTCTCCATTTACCTCCAAAATCTCATCTCCTGTCCAAAGAGTAGTGCAATCAGAACGAGATAAGAACTTAAAGTTGCAATGTCAAAAAATATCACTTTTTTAAAATAAATCATCAAAGCATGAAGATTATATGCTTTCTGGTAGTCTATAAACCAAGTCAAATATTAACCAAACCTTCATACAAGCCTCCTGGGAATTGATTCATCCAAGCCAAAACATTATGAGTTTTCAGCTTATTTCTTAAAGTTTTAATCAACTATGGGAATATAAATACTTCTACAAAAGGACTTAGACTTATTTTATTGTCATTGCACAAAGAAACATAAGTAAAATTGGCAATGAAATGTTATCATTTGGCCACCAGAGCAGACACAAAAACACAAGTGTGCCTATAATTACATAATGAACAAATAATGTATGACTACATATATAAAACTTTGTATTTTTCAATCAGTCTCAAACAGAGACTATCACAGTCTTAGTGATAGGATTGTTGAGCAATCTGATGGCCAGTTGGAGACGTCTCTTTCAAAGTCTGGCATGGCTGTTCTGCAGCAGATGTTATGTAATCTCCTGCCAGATGCCAACCAGAAGAACAGACTATAGAGAGGTTGGGTGGAGTCACAGAAGATCTGATTTGATTTGGCTAAGCAGCATCTGTGTCCAATGCTATGGATAGTGGGGAGTGGAGTCCCAGTGATCCTCTCCACTGTCTTCACCACTCATTGCAGAGACTCTCAATCTGAGGCCTTGCAGCTTCCAGACCAGATGGCGATACTGCTGGTCAGCAGGTTCTCAATGGTGACCAGCTCTCTGTAGACGGTGGGGAGGGAAGTCCTTCTCATTCGTCTCAGAAAGTACATGCACTGCTGTGCCTTTTTCACCAGTGACGTGATGTGAGGTGTCCAGCCAAGATTGCCTGTAATGTGAACCCCCCAGGAACTTAGTGCTGCTGACGATCTCCACTGTTCTGTCATTAATGAAGAGTGGTGTGTGGTTCAGTCAAGTCCTCCTGAAGTCGACAATAATTTATTTTGTCTTCTCGACGTTCAGGAACAGGTTGTTTATTCTGCACCAGTCCACAAGATGGTGCAGAATAGTTCACTTCATTGTTGTCCTGAGTGAGTCCCACAATTGTTGTGTCATCTGCATATTTCATGATGTGGTTGGTGTTAAACCTGGAACGACAGTCGTGGGTCATCAGGATATACAGCAGGGGATTCTGGACACAGCCCTGGGGGGAGCCAGTGTTCAAAGAAATCACATTGGAGGTGTCATTACCCACACGAACAGACTGAATTCTGTTGGTGAGGAAGTCTAGTCTAGTTGCACATTGAAGAATTGAATCCCGAGAGGTCCAGTTTGCCTGCCAGATTCTGGAGGATGATTGTATTGAATGCTGAGCTGAAGTCCAAAAATAGCATCCGTACGTGGGTGTCTCTTTTTTCCAGATGTACCAGGCTCAGATGAAGAGCAGTGGAGATGGCATCTTCAGTGGAGCGGTTAGGTTTGGATGCAAACTGGAATGGGTCAAATGATGAAGGCAATATAGAGATTTGTGATCTTTAACCACTCTCTCAAAGCACTCCATGAAGGTAGATGTTAATGCAATGGGTTGAAAGTCATTAAGACATGTGATGGTTGGTTTCTTAGGCACTCGAATAATAACAGCTGACTTAAAACATTGTACAGTTCCTGGTAGAGTGACGTATTGAAGATGTCCTTGAGCACATGGGCTAGCAGGTCTGCACTTTCTTTGATCAGTCTTGCTAGAATGTTGTCAGGATCTGGAGCTTTTTGTATGTTGACCTTCGCCAGTGATTTTTGTACAGCAGATGTTTTGAGCCTGAGGGTCTGTATCATCAGGATGCAGGGTCGCCAGATCACAAGATGTGAAAGCAGGATTTCCTTGCAAGGGTTTTATTTAGGGCTTCAAATTTTCCAAAGAAGCTGTTGAACTCATGAAGGAAGCTAATGCCATCTTGGCAGGATGAAGACGTGGTTTTATAATCAGTCAAAGACTGGATGCCCTGCCACAGTTGTCTGTGTTGCTGGAATCATGAAAGAAACCTTGGATCTTTTGACAGTAAGCATGTTTTGCTTCCTTGATGGTATGGTTTAGATTAGCCCTTGCTGATATAAGTGTGGCCATATCACCAGATTTGAAAGCAGGATTATGCTCCCTCAGTCTAGAATAATCTCCTTAGTTATCTAAAGTTTCTGGTTGTCTCGTGTGACGATTGACTTTGTTGCTGTAACCTCCAAGCTGGATCCATACTACTGGATGTAGTTTGACACAGATGCTGCATTTTCCTCCACGTCCATGTGTTGGTTGCGTATAGCTGCCTCTGTTTAGTATTCTGGAGTGTTTTGTATTATAGTTTGTTCATCCAAGGTTCTCATTTGTTGTGCTATGGTGGTAAGGGGACGAGGGTCTATTTGGGGCAAATTAATAGATCAAGCCTGAAATATGTGTGCGGGGGTTGGTATTTTTCTCCTTATTTTTATCGAGGAGCAGAGGCACAGCTATTTTCATTTGGAAGCATTTACCATTTAAACCCATTGATTGCTTAAAGGATGAGGGTGGTTGCTATGTCATAGGGAGAGGTGTTTTATATGGGGAGAAAATTGCAATCTTGAATCACCTCCTGGTCACCTAGGGAACTGTATGGCCACTGCTTTCATCAAGCTAGTGAATCAAAATATCAAGAACTCCTTTGTTGGAGGAGACTTCAACTGCCACCTAAACCCGATTATGGATAAAAATTCCTCAAGGCAAGTTATATCTTTTTCCTCAGGCCAAAGCTCTCATCACTTACATTTCTTTTAGTGATGTTTTGCAGGAAGCGTTCTAAATTGGGAGCAGATACCACAATGTTTAGGTAGATGAACCTGGCACAAAGAATTTATGTTTTTCTCCAAAATGCATTCATGCTATACAAGAATTGACTACTTCTTTGTTCCAAACTGTATACAATCATCGATTATGTCCAATTTGATTGGTAATATAATTACATCTGACTATGCGACAGTCTTTATTAACTGTAAAATTGGAAGCCCATGTCCTCAAAACAAACGTTGGCACCTCGACTCCTTTTACAATCAAAAATTCATAATTTATTTTACAGAAGAATTTAAGCAGTTCTTAGTTATTAATATACCGTCCACAGATAATCTGTTATTACTTTGGGAAACATCAAAGGCCTATTCAAAGGTCTCATTACTTCTTTTACAAGTTATAAAAGATGCAGACAAGCTGAGCAGTGGAAAATTTTAGAATATAAACTAAACCTTGCAGAAGAAAACTATATAAAAAAATCAGGAAATCACTGCTCTTCGCTCATCACTGGACTATCTTCTGACAAAGGAGGCAGAGATTAAAATTAGATTTGAAAGAAAAAGGTTATACAAACATGGCAACAAACCTTGAAAATATTTCACATATTTAACAAAAAATATGTGAAATATTTTTTGTTATTCATTCGTATTGAATGACTCCACGCTATTTCTTCGATCAAAGATTCAAATGGAAAACATTTTTTGATTCTGCAGCGATCAATGATATCTTTAAAATGTTCTACAAAAACCGTTACAAATCTCAATTACATAATGATTCAGATTTAATAAATGTCTTCTTCTCTTCTCTCAATCTCCATAAGATGACTGAGGAACAGAGGTCACAGTTGGACTGTCCCATATCAACCCATATTACCTGTTTCTTTAAGGGAGACAAACATATCTCTCATATTGAAAAAAGGCAAAGCGCCGGAAGACTGCGCCTCTCATAGGCCAAAATCTTTATTGAATCTCCTTTCCAAGATTTTTGCACGCCATCTGGAACGTGTACTCCCTCTTTTAATCAACAAAGACCAAACAGGTTTCATTAAGGGTCGTAACTCAAATAACAACATGTGCAGGTTGCTTAACACAATCCAGATATTTAATCAAAAATTATTACCTGGCATAGTCGTCTCTCTTGATGCCGAAAAGGCATTTGACCGTATTGAATGGCCCTATTTGTTTTTTACTTTCCAGCAGTTTGGCCTCAGTGAGCGTTTCATAAAATGGATTATGCTTTTGTATAAATCTCCCCTTTATGAAGGGCCCATAAGTTTTCAATGGGGTTTCATACCTAGTATGGCAAGGGGCCAGTTCATTATTCTGTTGTCTTTAAGGCTTTTATTGATGCATGCGATCAGTAAAAGCAAAAGATTACAGTCCTCTAAAAAGATGCAAGCTTTTTCCTGCACAGCTGTCTTTTAAAAACTGGACACAGGTTTGGGAGTTTATTTTGAGTCCATCTTCAACCTAAAAAGGTCCAACTAGGAAACCTTTAATGATACCAGCCCGTACCTTTACATGGCTACACCTTAATGGCATCTCAATGATTTGTCTCGGAGGTTTGACAATAAATGTATGTCTAAATTCTCAACTTGTTTCTGTTGACTATTTACAGCAAAATGTTTGGTGGTTCTGTTATCGCACCTCAAAATCTAAGAAATTTCAAGAGTATTGCTTCCCTCTGAAAGACTTTTTACAATTTTGGACTTCTCAGAGTCACTTAAATCTCTTTCATTGGCCCATTATTTGGGCCTGAGGCAAAAAAGCTGCCTAATAATTATGTACACCTTTATTTAGAGTGTTGATCTCCTTATGCTCGACCCTCTCTCATTAAATCATCATATTGACAGTTCCAGGGATGTATCCAGAAGGTATCCACAAAAATTCAGTCCATTTTCAGTACATTTTGGAAGTAAAACTGTTACCAACTTATAGCGCCCTCCTAGTGTTTAATCAGGCTGATGGCAAAGGTCAAAAGCTCTTTATCTGACCTTTCGCATTATTGTTATGAAAACTATTTTTAATATGTTTGAACTGTGGTTCCAATCAAATCACTGAGACAGGGCTGATTTTAAGTTAGCTGTTGATTGGTGCACTGGCTGTAGCAGCGAGATAGAGACAAGCCATCTTCCAGATCTCTGGGTCAGAGGAGTGCTCAACCTTCTCAATGTGCCATTTTAACATGTGATGTCCAAAACAATCCTGTCATCACACATCAAGCAGATAGATAAATACATGTATGTAATATATAAATTCATACAGTGAAAAAAAATAAACATAGACTGACTGTGGTCCCACTAACTGCATATAAACAACATTAAATCAGTGGACCGGTCAAGACTTGGTAAATTTGCTTTCTTTTTCTGATTTTCCCTTTACACCAACTTTACAAGATCCTGCAGTGTGTGGTATCTCAGGTGGTGGTGTGTTAAATATGCCTGATCTAAAATCGGGTATATTCAACATTGTCTTGGCCTAATTATGCAGCCGGTGGGGTTTTCCCGGACCAGGAAAACCTCACAGGCCTGTTGAATGTGACAGGCAGCCAATCAGAAAGCACAGTGACATAAGAACTGAGGGGAATCCCAAACAGTTGACATGGCGACTGAGAGTCCGGTGGACATCGGAGAGGATATGTGCAAATGTTAATTACTCTATGTAAAGGTCATTTTTATATATGTTTATTATATGTGATTATGTTTATTTAGTTAAAAATGTTAACTTTGAATGAACATAACTCACCTCCAAATTATAGTGCAACAAATAGAGCATCATCAAACGCCTTGTCTTTTTGTTACATCTTTTATCATTCAAAATGAGTCCACAAACTATAAATTCACATATGGTATGTTGGAGGTTTTAGCGGATTTTCTTCTGGAATGGGGATGTCTGAGTGGAATTGGTTCTTGTGGTGTTGCTCCTGCCGTGTGGCTGGACACACGAACCCATCAAACCTGTTGGACTTTGGAAAATCGGCTGATAATCGTTACATCGTGTGAACCAGACCTAAAACTCACAAGCTCCACTCCTCTCATCTCATATCGACCCCTGCCCTAATGTGCTCTGACTCTGGTTGCTATGGTAACGTTTACATATCCCTTCAAAATAAGACACATATGCGCCACAAAAACAACTAATAACAATCAATGGGAGCCCTGAGCTTGTTTCTCTGCTAGGAGACAGTCCCATGTGAGAGACAATGACCTGAAGCTTATGCTTGTGCACAGGGTGCTTGGTCTCTACGTGGAGAAGCAGTTTGAAGCTTCATTGCTTCACTAACAGCCGGTCGCTGTATCATGCAGAGCAGCTTGGAATGTGGGAATCACCAACCGGTCTGGGATAAATCCATTCTCCCGTCTCTTCTCTGGGCCTTTTCCCTTCGCAAAAAAACTTTCCAAAGACATGCAATTTGTTTCTTGCTCATTTTGCTGCTTGTGGGCTTAGTTGTTGTACAATATGTAACCGAGAGAATCCGGTTAAAGGAGTTTCAACATAAAGATCCTCCAGACTCAAATAATACATAAAATGGAAATATTTAATTATTTTTTACACACCCAGGTACCAATTGGATTTGGGGACCACTGGATTAAATGATTGCACCTAGATTATGAGCTATTCGTCTACAGTAGACTGAATGTATATAATGTCCCAACTTCCTGATCTGCATCAATTGTACATAAACAAATATCAGGTTTTTTAAGTTGATCTGTAGGATGAATTTCTGCTGTGAGCTACAATGGGATTACAAGCACCACTTCAGCCAAAGATTTTAATGGTAAATATAAATAATATTTCTCCAATTGAAGCTATCAGAGTTCAAATAGTTCAAGTATGTGTTTAAAATGTGAGGTAGAATATTGTGAAGCCATGCCGACTTCACAATCATGTTGCATCATTTCTTGTAGGTAGCACAAGCAGTTCAAGGATGGAAAGTATAGCTAAACTGGCAGAGCTTTTCCCACTCCATCTAACTCAGACGGAACAGAGACTGGGGGATGAGGTGGAGGGTGAGGAGCAATATTATGTCCTACAGGTGACACTTCAAAATCAAGAAAAAAATGTTATATCTCGTCTGTATCTTCCAATAAACCTCATAAATGTAACACTGTGTTTCATAGATTATCTTGAACTGTTTTCTGAATGCAAAGATATCCAGAATAAGGAGGAATAGTTTACCCTCTTTCAGTCGCCCGTCAGCTGCAGCAGCTCCATGAGGAAAAATTGTTTTGACAAAAATGCCCATCTGGCCACGTGCTGAGTCCTGCCCACCAACAATACTGAAGCCAAGGCCCTGGGCATGGAAGATTACAGTAAATGCCAATAAGGAATTCTGCATTCATATTTTAACTTACTTTCACCTCTGCATAATAGCTTTACCTGACATTGCACTGTACAACTCAGACTATTATCATCACATTTTATTCTCCCAGGTTCCTACAGGCAATCTAACTGTCGGAGCCTTTGTTCGTCTCCTGCTCATGTTGATCGTCAGAGCCTCATTTGCCTGATTTGAAAATCCAAATCCAAAGTCTTGTTTTCATGAGAAGCAGAACTAACAAACTGCTGAAATGTTGGAAGTGTTTGAATAAACATCTTAATTGGCCACTTGTTTGTCAGGAAGAAAGGTCTGTTTCTTCTAGAAGTCTGGATGATGTTAGGAAAAGCAAACCAGCCAGAAGCTGAAACATATGGGCTACATGTAGAAGAGGGTTGAAATTCCAAATAACCCTCATTGTTCACTTGTTCACAAGCTGAATGTAATAGTTTACATTCAGCTTGTGTCAAACTTGAGCCACATGCAATGTATAAAATAGCCAACCATAACTATTTCTGTGGCCCTCTCGACCACAGAGGACCCCAGAAATACAACTCCAAGATAACAGTTCTGTAAAAAATATTTTATCAATTATTTTTAATACATTTTTATTTGCATGAGGCCAAATAACATACATTTGAAAAGATGTGAAATATTATCTAATCTTATGAGGTTCAAACAGAATGTAAATCTTCAGTTTGATAATATTTGAACAGTTCAATAGATAATTTGACATTCTGCTACAACCAGACGTTGAGGACATTCATGATCTTCATGTGACTTCAAGCCACATCAAGACAGGTGACTGCATTATTCATTCATGAAATTATTTTGCAGTAGCAGATGTTCAATGTGACTGAATATGTTTAAAAAAAACTCACACACAATATTAAAAAGACCTCTGGGCTTTAGATATGCAGATGTGTGAAATGAGAGGACTCACCTTCCCCTGGCCTTTCATCAGCACTATGCTGGAGATAATAGACGGCTGCGCCAGTCGCCAGGGAGACTGTACTTGAACAGTGCTCATGGAGCGGGCTGATTTCTTAATTATCTGATGTTCCTAGAATGGAGATAAACATGTAAAAATAGCAACTTTCAGATAAAGTGATACAGGAACAGCCCCCTTTCTTCTCTCCGACTGTTATATTGGAATTGTCTCTTCTACGTGTCATTCTTCTCGCTCCCATTTTTCTCTTTATCCTGATGATAAAGATGGAGATGCAATATCTATATATTTAACACCTAAACTTCACATGGTTAACACTTGAACTTTATGTTGTTAATCTGGTTTTATTGTTTTTAAAGATAATTCAATGTCAGCACCAAATGATGAGTAAATCTGGAATATACAGGAAGCTAAGAAATAAACACAATTTTTAAATGTTTTAAAGTGTTTTTTGTCAGCTGACTTAAAACAGCACTTGCTCTTTCTGTGACAGATAAGAAGGGCTTCCCTTCATCCTCCCATCCTCTCCACCTTCTACAGAGGAATGAATCATTGAGAGCCAGCTGACCAGCTGAAGCTCCATCTGGTCTGCAAGCTCCTAGCAAGCTGGGGTTCAGATTGGAAGTCTCAGCTAAGACCGCAGAGAGGATCACTGCTGTCCTCTCCAAATACAGACACTGCTTGACCACAGCAAACCAGATCCTCTCTGACTTCAACTATCCTCTCCATGTTCTATTCATCTGGTTCCACACAGCATTCACTGTAGAATAGCCAGACTGAAAAAATATTATTTGTATAATGGGATACTATGAGTTATTTCCGTAGTTATGCTGCCACAGGCAGCGCTTGCTGGAGGTCATGCTAAGAACTTTTTCCATTCTTTATTATTTTCTCAGACTACTTTCCATTCGTGCACTGTGTGTCGTTAATGCTGCCATTAACTTAATGTTCCCTTTTTTTCTCCATATGCAGACCTGTGCTCCTAGAGGTTGCTACAAACCAGGCCCTGTCTTTCTGCCTTCACTTTTGTCTATTTTCTGGATGAAGCAATTGAAGGAGTTGCTTCTGTGACTTTTGTGTCCTTTCTCCACCAAGTCTCACTCTAGCTGGTGAATGTCTGACTTGGCTCTTCCCAAGTTTTGTGTACTGTTTCCCACTTTGCACTATGACAGCACGTTTCTATACTTTCCTTCCATCAAGGCTCTGAAGACCATTACTCTGGTCCACAGGTTAAATAAGGTAAAAAGTGTGAAACTGAAATAAAATATAACAATAGTACAAGATATTGTAATCTTTCATATACACTGTGTCTCAGTGACGTGTGGTGAGGTTCATTGCTGGTGAGGCACTGACATAATCATAATCAGATTTACAAATATAGACTCCCTGCATGTAATAGTTTACATTCAGAAATTTCACACGTGGACCATGATGTAGGGCAAAAAGACTATTATGCCTTTACATGTCATCCATGGCCGCGTTGCCGTGGTAGAATCATTTTGTTAATTCAATGAAACTTGGAAATGAAGGTATTATTCCTTTAGTGCAGTGATCCACAGCAGAGGAAAAAACCCGAGTACAACTCAAAGCCATTTCTTTCTGGCTCTGTATTGGCCAAGCTACAATGTGCAGACTCGTTGCCATAGCAACTGACAACAAACCACTTTGTTTCAGGATTCAACACCAAAAAAACACTCAAATGTTTCCAACATAAAGAACAAAACATTCAGTCTGTTGCAGTAGTATGGATGAAGCCTTAATGTTTATTTTGCAAAGTGATTGCTGTGGTCGATTAGAGCTACTGCTGAGCTATCAGATAATCTAACAGAGCAGTTTGTGGGCTGTTTCTTTTCTGCACAAACTGGCCCACAAAATGCAAATTACATAAAAAAAATAAATAAGTAACATTGCCGTCTTACCTTTACATATAAATGAATGCGCAGCTCATTCTGCACAAAATATGTTCATCCAAAGCCAAGTCTATCCTTGACACAAGTTGAGAAAAGGAGGCAAGGAAAGCAGAAAGGGCCGATTCTAGCTGGACATCCACAAAGCCTGTCTTTTCTTGTATACCACTTAGTTTGAAAACCGTTTAAAGCAAACCTTTCAGCTCTTGTGTTGGCCTTTCTTTAGTATTGTTTCCTCCTTCGATTGAAAATCCATTTTAGAAAATTGTGGAAATGTGGTTATCCATGTTTACGTTTGAAGAGAGGAGAACACAATAAATATATTGCTGGACTTGACTGATATACTGTATGGCAGTAAATCAGTCAAGATCTTCCAGTGTCTGTCTGATCCTGATCAACAAGATCTGGTTCCCATAACAACAAGCTGTGATACTCTGAACTAACTTTCCTTAGATCGGCCCTCTTCACCTATTAAATTACCAGTTTGTTGTGCATCGGTACCATGTTAAGAAGTTGAGCTGAACTGAGCAAACAAATATCTCTAAAAAGAGCTGTAACATAAGGATCCCACTCTTTCCAGAACACTAGAGCACAACCTGTACCATCTAGAAGAAAAGTACACCTTGTATGTTCATCCTAACATCTTCAGTTTCATGTTGTGTGAGACTCAGTAACCTGTCTGACTCTAGCACTGTCCAGCTGATGAGGTAAGGAGTGTTTGCGTCGACCAGATAGAGGTTTCTCTGCCACTTCACTGCCGCTGATGATGCTCTCCACAAACAGCTCATCATCCTCGCCCACTGATTCCAGACAACTGCTGCCACCTAAGGAAGAATAAATACAATTTTGTATTTTGTACAGAAATAATCAAACTCAACATAGGTAAATATAATAGTTATAATATTCTAAAATTGCATCATTCAGGGTGCCAACATGTTGGAATCTGTACTGATTGAGATGTTTTTCTTTTTCAAATGTTTTAAATGTCCAAAAAAGTAACATGAGAAATGTGATGGGGCACAGGTACCCTTCTCATGGATCTAAAGCAGGGTGCTCAATACATCAATCGCCATGGCAATGGGTGTGCTTAAGTGACAAAGAGTGAAAGAGTAAAAAGTTGGGAGTGGTTTGGAACCTAATCAGGGTTGTTTTACCTTTGCTTACCTGTGCTGTGGTGCACCGCAAACACTGTAATTTCTGAACGTTCAATAATTTTTTTATTTTTTTTGTATCCTTTTGCGTATGCGCACTGGGTGCCACTTTTCTGCCTGTAAGCTGCTGGTAACTTTAATTTCCTGAGATAGTCTTCCCAAGGGATCAATAAAGTACGAGTCTAGGTCTAATTGACAAAATTGGACTAATTACCTCATTTGTTGGAGAGTATGTCACTGACAAATAGGAGAAATGTATTTTATCAAGTATTTAACAAGCAAGTGGTTTCCACCATGATAATAATGTGAATTGCCTAATATAAACTATATATATACAGTATATATATATATATATATATATATATATATATATATATATAATATATATATATATATATATATATATATATATATATATATATATATATATATATATGTTGCTGGACTTATGTGCTCATCATGGATTGTCCATAACGAACACCTTGTTGAAGCATTAGGGTGTCCATATATGCACTTGGCACTAGGACACCTCAGGCCATAGTTAGATGATCGACTTTGTCGTCATTTCATTGGATTTGCGACCACATGCCTTGGACACTCAGGTGAAGAGAGGTGCGTAATTGTCCATCAACCACCTGGTGGAGAGTTGGCTCCGGTGGTGGGGGAGGATGCCGGTCAGACCTGGCAGGCCCAAACGTGTCATGAGGGTCTGCTGAGAACGTCTGGCAGAGTCTCCTGTGACACAGAGAATTAACTCCCATCTCCAGGAGAACTTTGAACACATTGGGGGGACATTGAGTCTGAGGGGACCATGTTCCACTCCTCCAATGTCGGGGTGGCTTATCGGAGCTGTCTTCCTGACATCTTCAGTTTTATGTTGTGTGAGAGACTCAGTAACCTCTCTGACTCTAGCACTATTGAGCTGATGAGGTAAGGTGTATTTGCGTTGACCAAAGATAGAGGTCTCTCTGCCACTTAACAACCACTAAAGCTGCCCTCCACAACAGCTCATCATCCTCGTCCACTGTTCATCACTTTATGAACAGAATTTTTAGGCGCAGCAAAGGTGGTGAGGGGAACAGTTTTGGTAGACTTAGGATCGCATCTCTGCTTTTTGCGGATGATGTGGCTTCATCAGGTCGTGATCTACAGTTTTGCTGTAGTGGTTCACAGCCAAGTGTGAAGTGGCCAGGATGAAGATCAGTACTTCCAAATCCGAGGCCATGGTCTTGAGCCGGGAAAGGGTAGAGTGCTTTCTCTGGGTCAGGGAGGATGTTGTGCCCCCACCTCCCTCAATAATCTGTGGATCTTGTTCACGAACGAGAGAGAAATGTAATGGGAGACTGACAGACAGATTGCTGTAAAGTCTGCAATGAAGAGACAGCTGAGTCAAAAAGCATAGCTCTCGATTTACTGGTTAATCGTTTTCTCTGGAGGGTGTCTGGGTCATCCGGAAGGGACTCAGAGTAGAACTGCTACTCCTTTTACATCGTGAGGAGCCAGTTGAGGTGGTATAGACATCTGAGTAGGATGCCTCCTTGGTGAGGTTTTTCGAGCACGTCCCACTGGAAAAAGACTCCAGAAGAGCCCCAGGACACACTGGAGGAACTATGTTTCTCGGCTGGCCTGAGAACGCCTTGGGATTCCCCCA